GCCGCCACGTCCTTGCCCTCGTCCAGAGCCGCCGCGCTGTCCCGAGTTGCCTTCACCGTAGCTGCTGCCGCCGTGCTGTCCACCGGAGCTGCTGCCGCCGTTTGTCCCGCCGGTTCGGGTGGTGAGCAAGGCCGTGCTACCGGGGTCAGCAGGGTTTGACCGCTGACGATCCAAGAGCATGAGAGCCGAGCGAACCTGAAGAAAATTCGGTATAGGATCCTGAAACTGCATGAACGAGGTCTGGCCTTGAAGATCTGCGGGAAGCCCTCGGAGCATCTGAAGAACAAGTTGGTGTTGAGAGACCGGTGCATCAACGTCGTCCAACCAATCGGCAAGATTTTGGAGCCGTTGGCAATAGGCCGCCATGGAGGTGGAGCCCTTGACGGTGGTACGAAATTCATGTTCCAACTGCATGGCGCGGGCATGTTTGTTATCATGAAAGAGGTCGTGAATGACCTTCCAGAGAGCAGAGGCGGTGGTGAGAGAAGAGATGACCAGATCTGAGACTTCATCAGTGATGGTGGAGAGAATCCAACCTTGGAGAAGAGCATCAAGTTGGCACCATTCGTCGTCGTCGTCAGAGAGAGGGACGACAGATCCATCGAGGTATCCTTGAAGTTTGAAACGCCGAACAAGGAGAAGAAAAAGACTACTCCACTTTTTGTAGTTTGGTTGAGAAAGACTCAGTTGGACAGGAACATGCAACTTGACATTAGAGATGGTTGTGAGTGCAAGATGCGGGGTTGTGGAGGGTGTAGTTTGGGAAGTGATTTCACTATTTTCGGCCATGGTGAGAGATGGGGGAGAGGACCGCCGGGAGAGAGGAGAGAACGCCGGTGGAGGGCCGCCGAGGAGAGGGGCGGCGGTGGTAGAGAGAGGCCGAACGAGAGAGAGAGAGAATTGGGAGATTAGGGTTTAGGGTTTTTAGGCTCTGATACCATGTAGAAAGAATATTTTCATTGAATAATTGTGTAGAGAATACATCAATATATAGTAGAGGCTTCAATCCTAATCATAGTAGGAGAGCCATATTTAGGAAACCTGTACAAGTATGGTAACACAATAATTACAAGAATAATAAATATAATTAATATATTTAGCATTTTTCCCTTGGTAGTGACATCATGACACTATGATGGCGACAATGGTAGTCCTGATCCCAACGTTGGCAGTAAATAGCGACATTGACAGTAGCAAATGAGTGTGATGGAGGCGGCATCCACAACAAATAGGGATGAGAGCAGCAGATCATGGTGGCGATGACAGCGATAGTGCTGACCGTGGCGGCAACAATGTAGATGGTGCTCTGGCGATGACGGCGACATTTAAGAAAATATCTTTTTTTAAGGAAGGAAATCTCATTTATTCATTGATAATTTTATTATAAATGAAGTGAAAAAAAATATAAAATTACATAACTACTTGTAAATTCTAATAAAAACAATGATCTCTATTCCAAAATTAATATTATTCAATAATGATAAAATCGTATTTCATGGGGACAATTTTTTTTAATCTTAATATATAAATGATTCTTTATTTGTCTTAATTTTTTTATGTAGATTATAATAATATTTGGCTTATCTAAACATATTTTGTTTGATAATAATATAGGTCATGTCATCCCTATTATTATAGATCTTTTGGTCTAGTATTTAAATATATATCATTCATTTAAATAAATAGAATAAAACTAACTCCTTTATATTATATAAAAAATAAAAAAATATGAAAATTATAAAGAGAATGAGAAAGTATTTTATTTATTATTTAAATGTTTTGTTATAAAAAGAGAAACATTTATTAATTTTAATTTGAGTAATCGATATATTTTTGAATGAATATTATATTTATTTTATATTATATAAATTTATAATAATAAGTAGATAAAAATTCTATTAATAAATTCTAAAAATTCTCATTTTATTTTTATTTGTTTTACTTTATTTTTATGTTATACAGAAATAATTTTGTTTCCTTTTAACTCTATCTACTATATTTTTTAATATATATTTTTGTTAATAATTTGATAAAATAACATCGCTTTTAGATCTTTTGATGTATTTGGATGAGTTTATATTTTACATGATTACACCATTTTATTTTAAAAATATTTGTATATCTAAAAAATTTTGTAAACATTATGATTTATCGAATCCGGGCCATGTATTAAAAATATTTTAACCTATTTGTAGTTGTAATGAAATAATTTTGTATTAAAATTAATAAATCATAGGGAAAAGCTCTTTTGATTCTAAATTTGGATTCATGAGTTCAATTAGAATAAAATATTAAGAGTTAAAAAGATTAGCTAAGCAGACCACATGTCATCTTTTTAGAGAGTCGAGTCTCATTTATATATATAAAAGATAGTATATTTTAAAACATATTTAATAAGAATTCAAGAAATAAGATAATTTTGTAGATCTTTTGATTAGTATAATTAAATATATATTTAATATGACTATATTATTTTACTAAAAAATATTTATACACCAAAATTTGTGTTTAATTTTTAAAATTAATTGAAATTAATGTAAAAAATATTGTAAATGCCAATTTTGAAATAATTAGATTTTTAAAAGGTAATTATAATTTTGGAAAAATGAATGAAAGGAAAGAGAAAATAATTGAAGATGCAAGAATTAAAAATGGGAAGTAAATTTTCAGAATATTTTATATTCCTTATAGGGAGGAGCAATGATGGAATTGAATTATTTCTTTAAGATATTTTCTTTTCAATTTTTACATAAATGCCACGTAAGCAATGCCATGTGTCAATTTCTTAGAGCCGCCACATGTCAAGTTCTTAGAGTTTGGAGTCTCCTTTTTTTTACATAAAGGATGCCTAATGATTTACTATTATTTGGGAGTTTTTCTTTGAATACTTCATACGATTCAACCAATTCATCCAGTTTATAGTCACAATTTCAGCACATTCAATTGCCACTTCAGCCATTTTATTCCTTAACTCGCTAGCTCTTAGTGTAGCTATTTAGCTATTACATGTAACAATGCACATCACATTCTAATTTAACCCTTATACAAGACACGTTATAATGCACAACGCCTATATGATATGCCGCATACCAAGGAAATATGGCGAGCAATAGTGACAATGCGACGGAAAGCTGTTTACAATTCAATGAACTTCCAGAACTCATAATTAACAACTCACATCATCTCATATTTTGGTGCAAAAATACATGTTCTATAATCATGTACATTGCAGACGATTTCTGAAAATTAGACGAAAATGTTAAAAGTGATCAGACTAAATCCATCCATTGCTTCTGAAGTTGTGCCTCCCGGGGATACCATCTCTTCCAATAATAAAATCCCTCCATTTAAACATAAATGTTGAAGCCAATCGAATACCTCGTGGGTGATTTCCAAAGGCTAAATCCATCCATTATTGCAGAACAGCAAACCTTAGTCTTCCTTCTCTCCGGAGCGATGTGCTTCTCTAGCGTCAGGCTCTGATGTGGAGTTGTCTGCACTATCTGCCTGGTCTCTTGTGCCGGCAGCACTCAAAGGTTCATCCTTCAAAGATTGAATGATCATAACCACACAAACCACAAACACAATGATGGTAACTGACCCAATCCCAACCATTGAGTTTATGAACCCCATAAAAGATGGCCCTTTTATGTGTTTCTGTATTACATTTCCTTCCCTGTATCCTCCCAGAAACTGAGTGATATGGGATCCCTGATCATCTTCACCAATACTCTCTGAGCCAATTACCTGGTCAAGTTTACGACAAGAGTAGAAAGGGTATCACAATACATTTAACATTCATATCACAGAAAAGCATTTTAAAAAAAGGTAAGTGCACCGGCCTCGAAAAAGTTTAGCTCCAGAAACAGTTCTGTCAAAAGTGTACATACCGCATGCATGTATTCAAAAGGTGACTCGCTAGTGCTAAACCTATAGCTTATAGATCATGAAAAATAATCCACCCCAGGAATAAATTTCCTTGAGGTCACTTTTTTTTCTCAACAACGGCAGTCATGGGTCCATTTCGCTAGCATTTCTGGTGATCTAAACATAACCTATATTTCAAGATGCCTTGTTAAGAACTACAAATACCATGCATTATGCAACAACACCAAACCCGGTTCAAGGGGCCAATATGTGCAGTCTTAGCCCTTTATAGTGAAGACACTAGAATATACGGTAGGCTGAAACCCAATTAACTAATGTATATATCTGTTGATATTCATTTTAGTTATTAATGTCTATTTTATAAAGAATAAAAAATCTAAAAATATGTATAAAAAAAGGACTATATCATATTTCATTTTTACTTTGAATTTTCCAAGGTCCAACCAAACATAAGACCTTGGTCGAATGGATGAAGGTCCAACATAGGGAAGGAACCAGAAGCTGTTTGCCCCAGTTCAATCCCCCAAGGAAGCATGGTTAGGGATTTTCATGGAAGTATTCTGAGCCATAAAAATGAAGGTTTTAAGCAGGCTTTAATTCGGATTGTACGTCATTGAGAAAATAAGAAAATAATTTTTCTATGCTTACTTTTCCATTTGATAGCATTTTCGTGGCAAACCCTATATTTCAAGTAAATGTGTTGTTAAGAACTACAATTACCAAGCACAATGTCAACAAGACTAAAACCCAGTATAATCCCAACTTCAATGGGCTCTAAGGGGGGTCAAGACATACAGACTTACTCCTTTAAAAGCAGAAAGGCTAAATCTGTTAGAATCTTGATGCATTCCTGCATTTACTACCCAAAAATACATAAAAAGTAAGAAGCAAGGGAAGTTTAATGTGCCATTTTGATTTAGATGATGATAACCAGATTAACCATGCCCTCCGAGAAACTAATATCACTGCATTAATTTTACTTTTTTTTATAGAATCGCTTCGCTTAGGAAATTAATACCCCTATTAGTAATTGACTCCATTTTTCATTTGTTGGAATTGACTCAATTTTGAGGTTTTGTAATTGACTCCATGTTCCATTTTTTTTCAGTCAAAAGGGGAGATTGATGAGGATGTGGATTATCGTATTGGAGCTGTTTGGGCAAAGTAGAAGCTAGCCTCCGGCGTACTTTGCGACAAGAAGACATTGGCAAACATGAAAGAAAAGTTATATAGGACAGTGGTTAGAGCCGCTGTGTTATACGAAGAAGACTAGCAGAGTGTTGAGTAGTGAAAAAACTTGCATTCGTCGACTTCAAGGGGTAGAGATCAGGATGTTGAGGTGGATGTGTGGTCATACGAGGATGTATAAGATCCAAAACAAGGTTGGGGAAGGGTAAGAGTAGTGCCTGGGGAGGATAAGCTACGCGAAGCTAGATTGATATAGTTTGGGCATGTAAAAAGAAGAAGTGCAGAGACCACGGGGGTAGAGGTCGACTTAGGAAGAGCTGGAAAGAGGTGATTAGACATGACTTAGTTTGTAGTAGGTGCATGTGTGCCTTTTGTGCTTTAGGTCTGTGCTTTGAGTCTTGTTGCCAATGTCAGTCTGTGACTCTGTGTCTTGTGTTCGTGCTCTAACTTTGTTCTTGCTATTATGTTTTCTTTGTTTGTACTCTTTTGTGTTCGAGCCGAGTCTCTCTTGAAAATAGTCTCTATAATGCAAAATAGGGGTAAGTCTATGTACACAGTAACACACACCCTCTCTAGACCCCATTTTCTTGTAATAAATGCCGTCCTAGACCAACATCCCTAACTTTCATTTTTAGCGCATTCACCGCATTGAAGATGGATGAGGTTGGTGTTGAAGGAGGCTAAAGCGAGACGAGGAGGATAAACCTGTGGCATTGAAACAAGGAACTGCCAGTGTGGTCTGCGGTTGAGGTTGAACCAACGATGTAAAAGTAATCTGATGGCTACTATATTGGACAATGGAGAGTGCTAGATTGGTGTTTCTGTTTTGAATTCTTTTACCATGAATTGGTGTTTCAGTTTCGGTTCAGTAATTGTGAATGCTAGTTTTAAATATTATATTTAGTCAAACAGTCAATGTTAAATTGGAGTGAAATTAATGTTTTGAAGAGGTGGGGCTATCACACCCTTTTTATTTAGTCCATTATTTGCCTGAAGCTAAAACATTGTCAACAAAGAATCTTTTAGCTCCATTGGTAATGGACGGGGTGCCATGCAATGTAAAAGTGATAAAAATGTCTCCATATGGTAATTATCATCATCACAAAGTGTTGGAATAAATCAAAATGGATC